GAAATAACTAGTACATGTGCCAACTTTAAAAACATATAGCTTGAACGAACTCTGTATATTACTCTGTATTAAAATTGTCAAATTTATCGCGGATTTCTTCATAAGTTTGAAAATTACAATGAATTTGAAAATTACAATTTGACTATGTCTTTGGCATATAAACTAGCTATAGGTAATCATACTCACATTCACACTCTACTCATTACGTACTCACATACATATATGTGTGCATAATGCAACGTACGATTAGTGGTTTAATACTCTAGTCTAGACTTGAGTAATTTCTTTGAAGATGATTGGAAGAGTTGCTACGACTTTCACCCCCATTGAGTTTTATATACTAGTAGATGTAAAAAATCAGCTTTAATAAGTAACCACATGTAATACGGATTAAAAATTTGGCTCACCAATACTTAATCAATCAATCTATTCAACAACAATGGTAATGGAATATGTAACACCAACCCATACATCAACAATGATAATGGATGGGATTAGCTCAAAGAGTGAACCGAGTATTAACACACAAAAAAAATAAGGGGTGGGTTTTTTATTTGGTAATCTAATGAAAGATTCCCGACACCTTAATATAACTCTCGGGATGTTAAGTTGGTGATGTGAAACATTTCTTGAAACTTATGACTAACATTATAGCCAATTATTGAAACACCCATGTAATTGAAACAAACTCATTCTCGGAAATTTATAGACCTATTGATAGGCCTGTTATGGTTCTAAACCAACATTTATTACCCCTAGGGACATCCTCAACACTCATTCAGCCTTTAAATTTAGTCTCCAGCTAAGCATCGAGCTCCTTCCATAGGTTCCTATTTAAAAGCCTCGAGAGACATATTTGGTGCCCAACATCACCTCATTCATGCTATTGGTCTACCCCTCGTTATTTCTTTAGATGTATTGCCCTGCCTTAACTTAAGGCAAGTCAAGACGGTACCTTCAATTGCCATATATACGTATTTTGTGTTTTTATGACAAACAGTCGGTCAAGCCAGCCGGTAACCAACAATTAATTGCCAAATAAAGATCATTCCCAATTCACCATCATCAAAGGCAATTTTTTACAATGGGATTAATCAAAACATGTACAATTACAACCAATCTACCATGTTCCATGCATCCCTATTTTTTTAAAAAAAAAAGTTTAACTAAATGCTTGTTGATTAGGGGATTTTTATCCACCAATCACCGTTTGACAAGTGGACCAACCAGGTTCCGCCACGTGTCCTTCACGTAGGCCAATAGGAGACTGCCACGTGTCAATCACAGATACGTCCTCTACGGACCAATTGAGACACGCCCGTGTCCACCCATGCCAAATGGGAAAACCGGCCAACAAGGCCCAATCCTGTTTAGAGGCCCGGTCAGCCCTAGGTTTACCCTAAACCTAGAGAGTGGCACGCTTCTCAAGACTATAAATACTTAATTAATCCTCATTAAAGAAAATCAAGCAATTAATCTCACCTAGAGAAGTCAAAACACACTAATAACCGGCTGATCTCGCTAACAAAGCAGATTACCTACATTAAACACTCTCACCTAGAGAGACCTTATTACTTTAATTTCCGTATTAATTACTCCTTAATCAGGTACTAACTTGACCGTTGGAGGCGGAGCTCTCAGGAGTCTCCGTTATTTTGCAGGTACAGGCGTCCGGTTCCAGTCTCGGAATTGTAACTCTCCCGCAGGACATCAGAAAACCCCGAAACACTTGTAACTAGTGTTATGCCAATTATATCTCTAAAAATGTCTATTAACATATATACCCCCATTTATGCATGCGAATCACATGTGTGACATTTTTTTCCCTTTTTTTTTTTTTACCAATATAGCTTTTTGGGTTTTTTTTTTCCTATCTTTTAAGAAGTTTGAGATTAATCTTATATATAATGCGGACATTTGTACTTTCTAAAAAATAAAGTTATAACATAAAACCAAATTAAAAGAGATTTCCAGACATGACTAGCTATGTGCGCATTAACTATCCAGCGTAAATTAAAATATCAAAACCCAAACACTCCAAAAGAAATGTTAACAAGATACAAATGGGCCAATAACCCAATATAAAGTAACCGAAAAAAAAACTCAGCATCCATTTTTTGTAACTAAAACGAGTAAACCCATAACATTTTACAGCCCAACAACAACAAAACCCTTCCGCACACTAACAACACTCACATTCTTCCTATTATAAGACCCTCTCAAACCCTAATTCTTCATCCTCTTCATCTTTTCCGCCCCCTTTCAGAAAACCCTAACCCCAGAAAACCCAGAAACAGAGAAGATGAAGCACAACCCAAGAGTCTCCAGCTCTCGCCGGAAATGCCGCAAGGCCCATTTCACGGCGCCATCAAGCGTCCGCCGTGTCATCATGAGCGCACCTCTCTCCGGCGACCTCCGAAGCAAGTACAACGTCCGATCGATGCCGGTTCGCAAAGACGACGAGGTCCAGGTTGTGCGTGGTACTTTCAAGGGTCGTGAGGGCAAAGTTGTCCAAGTTTACAGGAAGAAATGGGTCATTCACATTGAGAGGATTACTCGTGAGAAGGTTAATGGATCCACTGTTAATGTCGGAATTCATCCTTCCAAGGTTGTGATTACGAAGCTGAGGTTGGACAAGGATAGGAAGTCGCTGTTGGATCGCAAGGCCAAGGGTAGGGCTGCTGCTGATAAGGATAAGGGTACCAAGTTCAGTGCTGAGGATATTATGCAGAGCGTTGATTAAATTTCATTTTGAGAGGAGAGAGACTTTGAGAGAGGTAATGGAAATGAAAGGGTGTTTTTGCTCTTTTGGTTTTTGTTATTGTTAATTTCTGTTGTCTTTTTTGGGAACTTTTATCAAATTATTAGTATTGTTATGTTATAAGAAGATTTTGGATCTAAATCTATGGCTGCTTAGTTTATTAATTAGGGTTTTTATTGAACCTCTCGATTTTCTCTAATTTATGCGATATATTTCTACGTTCTTATTACTGTTATCATTATTTTTATCTTTGTTTGAGTATGTGTTATTATGAAATGGTTCTGATTGGATGATTTTCTTTGGTATATTGTTGTTAGTATTATATATTTGATGGGTTGTATGTGGTTTAAGTGACAATCTTGAGTGATGCTAATATGAAATGAAATGTTAATTAATTTGATTAATTCAAGGCGGATTTTGTATACTGTGTTCTGTTTTTGAGAGGAATTTCTTATTGATAAGCTAATCAAATTGATATGAGAGCTCTTTAATGTTTTATAATTAGTGTGTTTTATAATGACAATCAACAGTTGTTTCTTTCAGTAGTAGACTAAGCATTTGAATATTAAGAGATTACTAATCAAAATGTGGTTGTTTGGTGCAAGTTTAGGTCTTTAATTAATTTCTATATGAGATTCTTATATCCTGCAGTTGTTTTCCCCATAATTGACATAACATTTGAACATCTAATGATTACTGTGGTTTTCTTATCTTAGTCCCTTTTACTACATATAAAAGCTTTTTGAAAGTAGAGTTGTTTTTGTTTTGTGATCTCTAGTTTCGCTGCAATTAGTGTAAAGGATGCTTGAATATTCAATTAAATGTGTTATACTCTAATAGTTGAACCTATACACAGTAACAGAGCAACCTTTAAATGACGCCGCGCTTGTGCTCAGTTGTTCCTTTGTTGATGGTTAGGTTCTTTGGAGGATTATTCTTAGATGGGTTGTAAATTTGATATATACTTGTAGATGCAAGGGATTGGCTGTAATGCTTAGGGTAGCATCAAGGATTGCTTAATTGATTCTTTGATTTGGTAGTTTTGCTCTTTTCTTCTCAACTCTGGGGAAGGATTCATTGGGTGTTTTACAGGTAATGGCTGTAATGCTTAGGGTATGTGAGGTATGAAAGTTAGATACAAGGGCAAATATAGGTCTTGTATCATAATGTGTTACTAAATGAGTAGGCTATGTATGATATGAAGCGTAAGGGCTAATGTGTCTTGTATCATAAAGTTAGTAAATGAGTAGGAGCGCTAGCAGGATTAAGATTGGGCAATGTGGTTGTTTTTGTTTTCTATTCACATAATTTGTCGAAGAATTTTAACCTTGTACAAATTTCTTCAATACAATACAACAAGAGCAATAACAATCAAATCCTTAATCCTACAATTGAATTAGTTAAAAACATTCTTCTGCCTCCTACTATAAAATTGGAGTAAGTCATACTATACAGAGTTACCTACATATGACATTTGCAAGATTAAAAATCTCTTCCCTGTATTGTTTTCGGTTCTAGTTCTCTCTCGATCAATAACTCGGGAGTCTTTTTAGAGTTGTGGGCTAGTGTCTAGCTTCTCTCTGAGTCCTGAACCTTTATCCGCTAAGCACCCCTTAGATATTTGTTTCCTCATTGATTTGCTAACTAAGATTTTTCGGGTTGATTTTGGCTCTTAATATAAGCCGATTACAGTTTTTGTTGCTATATGTTTCTTGGTGCCTTGAATTCAATTCTTTCGTTCAAGTTAATGAAGATTTGGCCATCCCATTAAAAACTCATAGAATATTTAACTAAAAGCCTTCAAAACAGATAACATGATAACACACCCTTAATTCATCAAGGGATCACTTCAAAACATGCATTTTTTACTTTAGAACATTTCAATCTTACCGCTAAAGATTTTCCAAGAGCTCCCAATTCCTAATCCAACCTGTCAACCTTCAACTTCATAATTATGGCCTAAACTGAAATTTTCCATGAACATCACATTCATGCAGGAGGCTTACTAATAAGACACTATGTATTGCAAATTATTGGCAATTGAGCCAACAATGCAATCCTATGGGCTATGGTAATACTGTATATAATTCATTCTAATGATATTTGTGGCCAGCCAGTGATACAAGTGTAACTCACCGCACTCCTAAACAACCAACCTGGTAAAATGAAACTTAATGATGAAGCACCCAGGATTAAACAAGAGTAAAAAATAGCAGGATACATAGAAAACAACTTAAGATTTTAGTCAGGCCAACAACCTATTCCATTTCATGTCTGCATTCAAAATTTCAAAAAGACCAGTATCAACAATTAAAGCTTCTTCCAACTAAAAAAATGCCACCAGGAGATATCTTGGCAAATTACAATGCCTCCTTGTAGATCGGACAGAACCGAATCTATAGACAAGTATCAACAACAATGTATTATAGCAACAAAACCTCAACCAGAGGGAACCAACAAATGAATATATCTGTATAACTACTTATTAATAGCTCCAATGAACAGAGGCCCATGGGGACGGGGAAAGGGAGGAGATGGATTGCAAAACGTTTTCCTGAAGAAAGCATCAGGCTATCAAAGCTTAAGAGCAAGTCCCAAGCCAAACCTTGGAGTTTTATCCAAGGCCAGGGTGTCAAATTCACTGGCGACAGTGAGCACTGATTTAGGAATGACCTGGTGCTGGAAAACAGTGCCAAGTTTCCCATGGTTGTTGAGTTTTGCCTTGACAAGTGTCAAATGATCAATTGCATATGATCCTCCAACTGTGAAAGTATTCTCATTAGTAGAAAACCTTCTGCTGATTTCAGCAACTGCAGCACTTTTCTTCAGCTGATCAAAATGGTACAAATATGATGCCTTAACAGTATCTCCCTTATCACCCCTGTGTAGGAAGACACTCTAAGCGTTAAAAATGTACCGTTCTCATTACACCAACTATGACAGATAAATATTAGTCAATCAGACGAGGACTTACAGGATAATAGAAGCACATGACTCTGGCTTTGAAAGATTAACACCAGCAGTATACTTGGTAAAGTCGCCAGAAGTGGTATCATAACCAGCTTCTACACCAAAGGCAATAGTTGGGGTGCCAAGGGTAGCCGTAACATCAACAACAGGAGACTTGTTTAAAGCAACAGCTGATGTAAATGTTGCATGGTTATGGAAGTATTGAACCTCCAGCTGTTTGACAAATGGCAAATAAATTAAGATAGAGGTAACAAAAAGAGGAATTCCATTTTCAAAAGGCATATTATACCTTGCCACCAGATGTATCTGGTATCTTGAATGAAGCGATTGTTTTTGTTGATGGGACTATGTCAGCAATAGTGATGGTTGTGGAGATCTGCCAAAATAGAGTTAATAGGCACGAACTTATACATAATAGGATACTGTGAGATATAGAACACATTTGCCATTTAACCTTTGCTAGCAAAAAACAAACAGAGAAAAACAAATTACCTTTGACTCTGTGTCAAGTTTGACATCAATCACGGTGTTCTTGTACTTGTACAAGGCAGCCACATCTCCATTTGAAAGTCCTCCTTTCTTCACAGCAGTTGAGGTGAATGCCTAAAGGTTTGGAGAAGAACATAACATTAAGATATGTTCCCTTCTTATTTCAGAAACTTAAAACTTATTCTTCTTCGAATAAAATAAAAGATTTAGACTACAAAAAACAAGAAATTATTACTTGCATGCATAAACTAATACCAATTCTTATCAGAATAAGAAATTTTTGGACCACCACAAATGAGAACTTATTTCAGGAGCTTAATATTTGTACAGCTTCAGAACATAATTGATCTATATTTTCATCTAATAGTTACTCCCTCTATTTTAATAATTAATTATTAATTACACTTGGTTTTACACAATCTCCAACTACCAACAATTACAGAACCTTTTACTATGTACAAGTATATCATTATTAATGTATTAGCAAAGAAACTATAAATTTGATATTTTGAAAATGCATTGTGAATAAGCCAACAAGATCTCACATGATGATAGTGATAATTCATGATCAAAGTTTTTAATCTTTGACCCTAAAGGCAAAGTGTAAGATTTGTAACTGTTTAAAAATAGAGGATGTGCGGAATATTATAGATTGTGGGTAATTGATAATAAAAAAGATACATATAGAGATGAATAAGATCCCACCTGTAAATATTCTTTCTTAGATTTCACATAAAGTAACAGCATAAGCATAACACGATCAAACCATAATAATAGACCAACCTACCTTAATAGTTTCAATTCCATTCAGGTTAAGAGAACACAACCCTAAACTGGTCAAACAAAATTTATGAAGATGACACAACATGATAATTTTTTAAAGCCAAACATTAGCATCAGAATACAGTAAAACTTTGGTCATATCAAGACAGACACACCAAAAAGATTCAGACCAGACCTAACTTGACCTTAACTAAAATAAGTTCAAATCACCTAAATCAAAGTAATGTAAATATGAAAACAGTTATAGATGAAAGGTCATGAAACTACATAAACAAGGAAATGAAGCAACCAGAAATCAATTATAAGGCAAGATTATCTACATTAATCAAACCACAAAGGGCTCATTCTGTTATTAGGCTCATTATATATTTGTGCAAGTGGTAGTAATAAAGGTAGACCATTGGTTCAAAAACCGAAGGACAGTATAATTGAAGTGCACCACATATGTCTAGAGCACTCATAACCTCACCATTTAAACATAACATAGCTAATATAAATTGATCATAATGTCCTCTTTTCCCTCCAAATACTGCATGGCCTAATAATAGTCGGTGATTTCCAAAGTCATTGTAAACAATCTCTGGCACAAGTCATTCTTCTTAAATCTACCTTGCATTTCTATCCTTCAAAATATCAAAGTTAGCAAGCTGCAAAAACCTTCAAATCACTATTGAAACAGCTTTCAGATTTCCCAATTTTTAACCTCCCTTATATTCTACTTTCTACCTAACAAGAGCTTGCAAATAATCAACTTCATAGTCAAAAAAGATTAGCACCAGGCCTAATAACTAGTTTCTTGGTAGATTTAAGAGAAGATGAGGTCGGAGTCCTTAGATAATGCATAAGTAAATGACAGCATATGTGATCAAGCAAGCTAGCAGCCTAGCCACCCATGTGAAAGCGGCTCAAACAACAGGATAGAATTCAGCATAGAAAGTAATGCTGCATTGCTTCCAGTCACAATTTGAAAGCCATGCTGCATTACTAAACTAGGGTAGGATACATATTGTTAAAGGAAAATAGTAGTCAATTAGAAAGTCAATTTGAAAAGCACTTTCTAATTGTTAAAGGACAATAGTAGCCAGAACTAGGGAGTTTACAGTCAACAAGAGTGTAAACAACTATGGAGTTTACAGTGGCCATTGATTGTTAAACTATGGAGTTTACAGTCAACAAGAGTGTAAACAACTTCATCCAAGAAAAAAATTTGAAGTATATACCATAGCATAAAGTGCTTAAAGTAGATGTTGTAAACATGCCAGCATAAAAAGCCTTAAACACTCCAAGAACTATTTTCCAGTATCAGGATTTCCTCCTCTTAATCAGACAATAAGGATAACATAGCAGAACTATAGCATCTCCGCAAATGGACTTTAGCTTACAAAGGGAAAGAAAAGAAGCACAAGTGGACAAACTACAGGCACACTGCTAGTTTATATACTATCAAAAGCTTGCAGGTTAGATAGGAGGAGATGGGAGAAGATGAAACATTAAATCAGTTAAATAGATATGATAAACAATGGACAGCCTTATATCCTGACTATGCAAACTCTGTTGATGACTAAATTCTAGACCACAATCAATTTTGTTGATTATCTCTTAGGCCTATATGCAAAGAAGAAATGTCAACTAGTAACTGAACATCTATTGTCCCCAATGCCAAAGAAAACAAAGAAGATCCTGCCTCACAGACATCCACTATGCTAATTGCTCGTTATCTTTCCACAAAATGCAGTTTCTCACTCATCTATACAATAGTCTCCAACGCATCCAATTTCTCGTCAAAGTTTAAAATTTCAGAAATAAAACAACCAATACACTCAGTTGGCATGAGTTGAGCACTAAAGCATACACCAATGCAGGCCTTTGCTTCCAACACAAAGACATTAATGACTTATATAGTTCTAGTCTTCTAAAATACCAGTGGTTACTCGCCTGGGTCAAAACTTGAAAGCAGTATGCATGCATCAGAAAACTTCTCTAATGTATAAAAAACTACTCTGATTACAAGATGATGTGCATCAGAAAAGTACTCAGAGCAAGGATCAAGGCTAGCTTGGTGCTTCAGGCAAGTCAGCTAAATAAATCTGTCGTATGAAGAATATATTCTTGGACCTCACTTGCTTAAGTGAAAAATTCTATTCGAAAAACAATAGTCTAAGTTTGTAAAATTAACTATATGTTATAATATTACATCTCCTTATCTCCAAAACCAGAACCGGAAAACTTATTGCTTACAAATGTGCACGCAATTGGATCTAAATACAATTTAGTCAAGCATATTCATAACATCCGAAAATTGCGCATTTTGCCACAAAAAATCACCAAACCATTCAAATTCTGGCAACTACAAAAAGTACAAATGTAGTAGAAGCCATTGAACAAATAACTTGCATATACTCAATAAATAGAACATCATGCATCAACTATAGGAAGAACAAAATCCGATTACAAAGATTATGAAATGTGCGATAACATCAAGAAACTGGACAAAATAACTTGAGCATACTACGAATCGATCATAACTACATTTAACATCAGCTCAAATTCCTCAAAATGACTATTGCGAAAAAAATTAGGGCAAAAAAAAAAAAAAATACCACGCCATTGACGCTGAATGATGAAACTGAAAACTTCTGATCTGAGACGTAATCCCTCGTAAGAAGATCTGCACTCGAAAATTTCAAGAACAAATTATATTTTCAAGAATCGAATCCACAACAAATCTAATCAGAAATTCTAGAAGAAAAAGAGAGAAAATCGAAAGCGAAAATGAGGAAGAAAAATGGTTGAAGAACCTTTGGGACGCTTTCCGATGTCGGAGAAGAGACCTGGACCGTTGGCCATAGTTGCCGCGACGGAGGAAGAGAGAGGAGAGAGAAAGGGGGATAGAGAGAGGAGAAGGAAGAAGAAGGTGACGACCAGTCGATGAGTACCAACAAAATGACAAAGAGAAAAATAACACACGAGGTTGTAGTGAGGAACGGCGGAGGCACAAAACTCAAAAGGTGGCGTTTGGAGAAATATTGTTACCGTAACTAGCTTTTTGATCCGTTCAATATAAAATTGAGAAAACTTCATCTAAATTAATTGGATTTCATGCTTTGATTTAAAATTAAATTATTTGTACGCTAATTCTTAAAATAAAAAACAAATAAAAATTTGATAGACGTCTAATGAGAAGTTAGATTTGTTTTGGTGTGCATATTCAAATATGAATTTTTCATTTTTTTTTTAATCACAAAAGTGAAAAAATAGCCTTAAAATGATTTTTGAGGGAAGTCTATTAATCTAATACATTCTCCATTCTTTTTTACTTTGACTTGTTTCTTTTATCATGTTTTCCAATACAAAACTTTAACGATCAATAATTTTAATTCTTCATAATTAAAATTATAAAAGTTATATATTATGATAGTACTTATTGAGACAAATTCAAAAATATCCCACGTTAATATGTTTTTCTTTACATATCATTCACAAAAAAACGGTCAAATGAGGGATGGGTGAATAGTGTAAAAGTTAAAGCGGGTCAAAGCAAAAAAGAACGGAGGAAGTAAGATGTTAGATTTGTTTTGGTGTGCACATTTCAATTATGAATTTTTCATTTTTTTTTAATTACAACTATGGAAAAATAGTCTTATCAGATGATTTTTGAGGATATTTGGCAATTGGTTTTTTGCCTACCTTTTGGCTTTTAGTTTGGTCAAACAGCCAAAAAATATGTTTGGTAGTTGCCTTTTTTGTTGGCTTTTAAGCTGGTTTTTCCGCCAAAAGCCAAAAGCTAATAGGAGTAGCTTTTTCTATTGGTTTTTGGCTTGTTGGCCCACTTTATCACTAATAAACAACTAACAACCATAAATAATTTTACCCAACACTTTTGTAAACAGCTGACTTAAACAACTAAGTTAAAAAGACAATACATACAGCTAATACTTCTAGCTAGTCAAACAAGCCAAACAAATAAGCCAACAACCAACAACCAACCGCCAGTTGCCAAACAACCCCAAGATGTTAGATTTGTTTTGGTGTGTAGACTGTGCACATTTCAATTAGTACTATTTTTTTTTTTAATCACAAAAGTGGAAAACATAGTCTAATAAGATGATTCTTTAGGGAAGTCTAATAAAATGTAAGATTTGGCAATTTAAAGTTAATAAAAAGATATGGTCTAACCTAATCTATTTTGCTCTAATCAATTCTCAAATAAGCAAACTTTTACATTGGAGAGGTGCTACATGACACTTATAATTTATTTTTTTTTTAATTTATTTTTTTGGAATGTTTAATTTATAAATACTTCCAGTAGAATATAGATACGCTTAATACCTTAAGTAGTGTATCATATTGTCATAACGGAAATATAAAATAGTTGAATATTTCACTAAAAACTATCTATTGTCTAAATTAGATTTAACAATGAATTTTTTAAAAAACTGTTAGATCTTACAAGGAACTGCTCGAGAAGTATGGGTTGGTCATTAGTGGAAAACAATCATCTTTTTAACGAGTAACGTCTTTGCTTGAGAATTCTCCGTATGTTATATGTCATTAAGTAACATAATTGCAAATAAAGATCATCATATTTATTATACCAACACTATCGCTATTTTTACATTTTATCTCAAAAAAACAAAAACCTATCAAAAACCTATTTTTACACAACCTTTAATCTTAGCAAAGCAGAGACCAAATATCGATCTCTAGAAACATTTCTAGTTTCTAAAGACCATTTTGAATTTCTAAAGTTCTATTTGATCTGAATTGTCATAAAAACAATGCTTAATGCCATAAATTAAATATGATTGCAACACCCCCATTTGTTACTCTTATATGGATGATCACTTAGCTTAATTGGTTTAAGTCTTAAGGGTGGTACTCAAAACTCGAGATCAAATTATATTTACATCATTTGTCATTGTAGCTTTTGTTGATAAGTATATTAGGTGACTCGTACTTCGTAGCTTTGTCCGCCCGATCGGGCGGACATTGCCCGGTCTGACCGGGCGGAAGAAGAAGAGGTGCCTGGCAAATTCGTTGAAGAAGCTGCTCTCGCGCCCGACCGGGCGAGCCTTCGCCCGACCGGGCGAGCCTTCGCTCGATCGGGCAGACCTTGCCCGGTCTGACCGGGCGGTGGGGGTTAGATACGTTGAAGCATTCGTATGGAGTTTTCTTCTCGCGCCCGATCGGGCAGACCTTGCCCGGTCTGACCGGGCGGAGAAGGAAAAATACGGAACGCGGATTTTACGATTTAAAGTTATCTTTTATGTTATCTTTTTGCCCAAGTATCTTTTATGTTAGGGATTAATATAAAAACTCCCAAATATCAGTATTAGGGTAAGAGAGACAGAGTGAGAGCCGTTCTTGAGAAATACAAGAATCATCTTTGTAATCTTTGCAGTTTATAGTGAAATCATTCGATCTCGGTGCCCGTGGACGTAGCTATCACATCGATAGTGAACCACGTAAATTCTTGGTGTTGTTCTTATTGTTTGCATTGAATTTCTTTATTGTTTTCTTGTTTGTTTTCGACCTTTGCTTCCGCTGTCGCACAACAATTGGTATCAAGAGCTCAGGTTCAATCCTTGGAGAGTTTCTTGAAGATAACAATGGCAGGAGATTCAACAATAAGAATTGAGAAGTTTACCGGGAAAAATAGTTTCGGGCTATGGCAAATTAAGATGAAGGCTCTGTTAAAACAACAGCAGATATGGCGTCCGTTGGCTCCAAAGAGTACTACTTCGGAGTCAGGAGACGGACCGACTGACTCGCAGTTAGAAGTTATGGAAGAGAAGGCACACTCTACCATATTACTTAGTCTTGATGATCAAATCATCACGGAGGTGGCTGATCAGGAAACGGCGGCTGGATTGTGGCTGAAGCTGGAGTCATTGTATATGACTAAGTCGTTGACCAACAAATTATTACTGAAACAGCGGTTGTTTAGCCTCCGGATGCAGTCAGGTACTTCCTTACGGGAACATCTAGAAAAACTTAACTCTATTTTGCTTGATTTACGTAATTTAGATGTTAAAATTGATGATGAGGATGCTGCGTTGATTTTACTTGTATCTCTACCGTCTAGCTTTGAGAATTTTGTAGAGTCTTTTGTTGTTGGTAAGGATTCTATAACCTTAGAAGAAGTGAAGGCAGCACTTCATACTAGGGAACTCAGAATGAAAGCTACGAGTGATAATGGGGATAATGGTAGTGGGTTGTTTGTTAAGTCCGGAAAGTCTAAAAAGAATAAGGGGTTTAACAAGGGGAACAATGCTGGGTCGGGTGCTGGAAACGGCAAGGATGGATCTAGTAAAACTACTACTAAAACATGTTATAACTGTAAAGAACCGGGTCACTTTAGGAATAATTGTCCGGTGAGGAAAAACAAGTCCCAGGCTGCTGTAGTTGAAGAGAAACCGAATGAGAGCTATAATTCAGAGGAAGATTTAGCATTAGTCAGTTCTGCTAGGTCTGATGATTTATCTGATAACTGGGTTCTAGATTCAGGGTGTTCGTTCCATATGTGTCCACGTCGAGATTGGTTTGATACATATGAACCTCGCAATGGGGGCATGGTTATAGTCGGTAACAATGCTCCATGTAAGGTCACAGGTATTGGTTCCATGAGGTTGAGGATTGTTGATGGGCGGAGGTTAACTTTGACTAATGTACGGCATGTTCCTGCTTTAGGAAAGAATCTGATTTCATTGGGTACCCTGGATGACTTGGGGTACAATGGTGTGTTTTCAGATGGGGAGTTGTGTATTTTCAGAGGTTCTGAGTTGGTACTTAAGGGTATCAAAAGGAACACCCTCTATGTTTTTGAGGGTGTTACACTGCCTAGTTCTGCGGTTTGCGCATCTGTATCTCACCAGGAGATGACTAAGATTTGGCACATGAGGCTTGGTCATATGGGGGAGAAGGGGATGCAGCTATTGTCCAAGAGGGGTCTTCTATCCGGGGTCAAGGTTGCCAACCTTGAATTTTGTGAGCATTGTGTGTTTGGTAAGAAACACAGGTCAAAGTTCATCAAGGGTGCTCACATTACTGATGCAGTGCTCGATTACATCCATTCAGATTGCTGGGGTCCATCTAGAGTTGAAGGTATGGGAGGTTACCACTATTTTGTGTCATTTGTTGATGACAAGTCCCGATACACATGGCTTAGGTTGCTTAAGTCAAAGGATGAGGCCTTCAAAGTTTTCAAGCAATGGAAAGCTTTGGTGGAAAATCGACAAGGAAGGAAGATCAAGAAGCTACGAACGGACAATGGGCTAGAGTTTTGCAAAGACGAGTTTAATCAGTTCTGTGCAGATGAGGGTATAGGTCGGCATCATACTGTCAGGAAGACACCACAGCAGAACGGTGTAGCAGAACGGGTTAATCAGACACTGCTAGAGAGAGTTCGATGCATGCTCTCTAATGCAGGGCTTGGGAGGAGGTACTGGAGTGAAGCTGTGTTAACAGCTTGTTATGTCATTAATAGGGGTCCTCATTCTGGAATTGATTCCAAGATTCCGTTTGAGATCTGGAGTGGTAAGTTGCCTAATTTTTCGAATTTGAAGATTTTTGGTTGTGTTGCTTATTATCATGTTATTGAGGGTAAGCTGGATCCACGAGCCAAGAAGGGGTGTTTTGTTGGGTACGGGGATGGTGTGAAGGGGTTTAGAATTTTTTCACCTTCGGAGGGTCGGGTCATTCTTAGTAGGGATGTTACTTTCGATGAAAACACCATGTATTCAATTAAAAATGCAGAGATTTCAGATTTGAGAAGGGAAGGAGACAATTTATTACAGACAGATGGGGTACTTGAGGTACATCAGTCTACCATTGCTGATTTACCTCGGGTACAATATATTGATGATGATGCTGATGTTCCAGTGCCGGGTACTCCTGAACCTGAGATTACTCCTACTCATTCTAACTCTGGGGATGAGGTGGAGCAATCTAATCAGGGGTCATCTAGTCAACCTGACACCATTCTTGAGATGCCTAAACGAGTTATCAAGAAGCCTGTTAGATTGATTGAAGAGATGGAGGGAAG